CCTTTAGTAAGCGATCGTCAGGACCAGCAGGTGGTCCTTGTGTTTGCGATTAGTTGTTATTTGAGAAACAGACTGTGGCAGGGAAATAATGGAGTAGATTACTTCCTCCCAGTGACTTTTGGACTGGGGCGTTCTAGACAAGACATCAGCCAAAACATTCTTACTCCCTGGGAAATACTTTAAGGTGAAATTAAAATGATTGAAGTATTGAGCCCACCAGACCTGTTTTGGTAATAATTTGCGGGGGGGTTTCAGAGCTTCCAAATTTTTATGATTAGTCCATACTTCAAAAGGTATCTCCCCCCTTCCCAAAAAATGATACCACGTTAGTAATGACCATTGAACCGCAAAAGCCTCCTTCTCCCAAACAGCCCACCTCCTCTCTGTTTCGGTTAGCTTCCAGGAAGTTTAAGCGTGGGTTGTAATTCCCCCCGGTGATTTTTTTGTAAGAGAACAGCACCCACAGCCATGTCCCTCACATCGGCTTGAATGATGAATTGCATTTCAGGATCATGGTGTTTGAGAACAGATTCAGCTGCAAAGAGTCTTTTTAGTTTCTCAAATGCTGCTTGACATTCTAGGGACATGGCAATGGCTGACAAGGTCGGAGTTTCTTCCTCCCCCTTCCCATTTTCAATAAGTTGGTTATTGGCATGGCTATCTTTGCAAAAGAGGGGATAAATTGGTGGTAAAAGTTAGCAAACCCCACAAAGCTTTGAAGTTGTTTACGGGTGTGAGGGGGTTGCCATTCCAATACAGCTTTCACTTTTGCAGGATCCATTTCTGTCCCCTCATTTGAAATTTGGTACCCTAGATAGTCAAGGCATGTCTGGTGAAACTCACATTTAGAAAGCTTTGCATTCAGTTTAGCCTTCAGCAATTTCCTCAGCACTTCACGGACCAATTTAATGTGCTCTTCCATAGTCTCAGTGTAAATGAGAATGTCATCAAGATAAACCAAAATCCCCTTATACAGATGATCGTCGAGCACCTGGTTGATTAACTGCATAAATACAGCAGAAGTTCCTTGTAGTCCAAAAGGCATCACTTTAAATTGGAAGCCTCCCAGGGGGCAATTGAAGGAGGTTTTCCATTTGTCCCCTTCCTTAATCCAGACTTGGTAATAAGACTCCTTAAATCCAACTTTGTAAAAACTTTCCCCTTTGCCAGGTGGGCTAACATGTCCTTCATTAAAGGGAGAGGGTACATGTTCCCTAGGCTGACAGCATTCAATATTTTAAAATCTACACATAATCTGAGCAAGCCATCTTTCTTTTCTTTGAACAATACAGGGACTGCTACACAAGATTTTGCTGATTGGATGAAACCCCAGGCCAGGTTCTTATCAATGTATTCTCTTAACTCCTTCATCTCTCTGGCCATCATTGAGTACATTATTGGCTTCGGGAGCTTGGCCCTGGGTAAGATTTTGATGGTGCAGTCCGTAGCCCGGTGTGTGTGGGGGGAAGGACGTCACACTCTTTCTCACTAAATGCCTCGACTAAATCATGATATTCAATTGGGACAAGCTGGATTCCTGGCAGTTTCTCTACAACAGCCTTTAGTGTTTCAGGGTGTTCTTCCTGAGCCTCATTTATGGTATAGTCCTTTGTATCACTGGAAGTGGCAGGGGGAAAGGACCTATCCCCAATCTTAAATTCCTCATTCCATTCTCTCACCAGATGGTTGGGCGCCACTTGTCGACTCAGGCCAGATCCAAAATTACAGCCTTAGTTATTTTTGGGACCACCACAAAATGAATGATTTCCCAGTGCCGGCCCATTTCCAATCGCACTGGTTCTATCAGGTGTGTGACATATGCATGGCCGATTAGGGACCCATCAGCTTGTTCAAATCTCATGGCTAGGGGTAATAGCCTTGCCCAAATCCCCAGATTAAGGACTGTGGGTAGATTAATTAGGCACCTGGTGCAACCTGAGTCTATTAACACATTTAAGTCCATTTGGGCCCCGGTTTTGGGTTCTATTATCTTGGCGGGAATGGCAAAAGGTGGGATGGGTTGATTTACCATTGGATCCTCCTCGCTTTCCTCATCACTGTCATAGGGCGCTGGCATCTGTAATGGCTCTGGCTGGGCTCTTGCCTCGAGCTCAACATGAGGGGGGTGTCCAACAGCTGGGTCCTGTTGTGCCCAGTTTGTCTTTTCCTTTCCTCCTCTGGGGGCTTTTCATGGCTTAGCAGTGGCAGCTGGTGTGCATCTGGCCTGGGGGCTGGACATTCCAAAGCACAATGGCCCATTTGGCCGCATTGGTAGCATTTGATTGGAGCTCTAACTGGTGCCTGGGGGGCGCTGGTGGTTGGGGTGGCTTGGAAAGGTCGGCTGGACATGTGGCGGCTTGGATTCGGAGGCCTGGCTTTCTGGGGCGATCCAATTTGATGTCCAGCATCATCGCCATGCTGTACCACTGCTGAAATTGGTTAGGAAAGTCCCTAATGATGCAGACTTGGAGTAGGTCGCGGTATAGACCCTGCTTGAAGTAGTTGATCAATGATCGTTCTGGCCATTGCCCTAGCCAATGAGCAACTCGCCTGAATTCACGAACATATTCCTTGGGGGGGGGCAGCCTTTTTGCTTCAGATGATGGATCTCTTTCTCGGCCAACAGGGCCTGGGATTTGTCTTCAAAACGACTTCTCAGTTGCTCCATGAATAGGTAGCATTCTGCAGCTCAGGAGCCCCTTCATCATGGAGGCTGGTCATCCAGTCAGACACTTCCCCCTCCAAATTGGCTACCACAGCATTCACCATCTGAGTATCATCCAGGTAGGTATAAGTGTAGTGATCTAGATGAGCCCACACTTGATTCAGGAAGAAGGATAGCTTCTCAGGGTCCCCATCAAAGGTGGGCTTGATGGGAGGCGGCTCAAATCATAGTGGGGCCACCTGCTCTTGCTTCTGAGCTGTTTGTTGGTCCTGGGGACGTGGCCGAACCACCCACCGGACTTGGCCAGGCTCCTGGACTGGCAGCCCGAGGCTGTGGCAGCGGGCTTGGTTGGGATACAGGGCTTGACATCATAGCTGGCTGGGAAATAGGTGAGGCAGCATGGGCTCCCACAGTTGGGCTGGGACTCCGGCGAAGGGGGGAAGAAATGGGTAGCCCGTAGCATTCCTCCTCATGGCGCTCACACCCTGGGCGACGGGAACCATCTCTTTTACCTCCAATCTGCCGAACTTCTCTTTCACTTGCTCAAGTGAGGGGCTGTGGACTGTGGACTGGAACTTCCAGTCTCCGGAGTTGTCCCCTCCAATTGATCCCTTTCCCTTCTGGTATGCCGCAGATGAAAATCCCTGGGATGGCAGCAATAGGAGTTCCTCTTCAGCGGCAACAAGAGTGCTCCTGTGCTGAGGGGCAGCTTCAGCTTGATAGAGGTCTGCTAGGATTGTAGTTCCTCCCTGCGGTATGAGCTTCCCAGGTTGGATCAACCGGGAGTTTGACTGAGCCCGTGCCAGTGATGTCTTCTTGGTGGCTGGAGCGGCTGCTTGTGCTTCGACAGCCGGAGTTCTGTTGCGGCCAGCAATGGTGCCACTCTTTTCCTCCATCCTCAAATCTTTGCCAAGTCTTTATCGCTCTCCCAAAAGATGGATAGGTGGTTAGGGCCCAGCACCCCAAAAGAAAATTTAAGTTTTAAGAGACAGTTTAATGTCATGGTTCCGACAGACAGAGACGAATAAAGCAGAACTCCGAGGCTTGAAAATTCCTCAAAGAACATGTTTATTAGTTACAAAGTATCAGCACAGTCAAAAGTGAAACCAAGTCCAAATATACAAGTAACAATTGCCCAATACAAAGCTAAATGTCCCACCCATAAAACTATGCAAGCAACTACGTTCCCCAATATGATTATTTGGTGGGTTTTTTATGCAACGCCCAGTCCCTAGTCTTGGGAGCAGCCAATGACCTTGGTTCCCACGGGACAGATGATTATTTTGACTAACGAAGCACCTGGGCAACCCCCCTCCCTCCGTTCTATGTGGCAACCTAGAATGAGAAGAAAAAATGGCTGCAGCCATGCTCATTGTAGAGTTGACAATCTGAGTGGTTGCCACAAAGAAGAGGGAGTCAAGCTATTCTCCAAAGCACCTGAAGGGAGAACAAGAAGCAACCAGATGGAAACTAACCAAAGAGAGAAGCAGCCTAGAATTAAGGAGAAATTTCCTGACAATTAGAACAATTAACCAGTGGAACAACCTGCCTCCAGAAGCAGTGAATGCTCCAACACTGGAAATTTTAAAGAAAAGACTAGACAACCATTTGTCTGAAATGGTATAGAGCAGACATGTCAAACTCGTGATGTCACGTGACGTCGTGCAACGTATCAGGACAGTTTTGCCATTGCCGGCAATGGGGTGAGCGCGGCTTCCATGTGACGCGTCCGGCCCACGGGCTAGCAGTTTGACACCCCTGGTATAATTTCCTGCCTGAGCAGGGGGTTGGACTAGATGACCTCCAACGTCCCTTCCAACTTTATTATTATTATTGTTACATAAGTATATAATGCAGTGATTCTGTTGGGCAATGTCATGAGCAATAGCTAGAAAAACACCATTTACCAAAGCGGAATTGTGCTGCTATTATTATACATGCCATAACCTCTTGTATTATTTATGCACCATTTATACATAAAGTATTGAATAATGCAAATTTATGCTCACATTAAGGTAAAAAGAAAAATCAAAAGGTAAAAGGCTCTAATAAGAGAGAAAAGAATATTAACCTTTCCCTAATTCTGAGATTTCAGAAATTGTCTACATGTAACAACTTGCCCTGTTTTTACAGAGCATAGTAAAATAACATAAATCTAGTTAGCCAGATTCAATACTGTTACTCATTGACTAATAAGAATAATAGTAGATATTTTAATAATTTTGTCATGATATAACTTAATATTTTAACTATACTATTTGGGTAGGAATATCCTCCACAATTCTCAATATTAAATAGCAACACTATTTGCTTTAATCTCCTTGTTCCCTTACAGCTCATGCAAAAAGTCACTAAGAAAGAACCACCGCCAGCCATGGATGATCTTGATGTAAGTAAAGAGCATCTTTAACTATTTCTGAACTCTGTTTGCTTGACTCCATATTATTAGTTTATCAGATTTGCAAGTTAACATGGCTGGAGAACTGGGATGGAATATGGCTTGTGCTTCACTAGTATTTAAAGCCACTGTTCCAGTGGCTTGCAGAAGTTAATATAAACATTTTTAAAGTATTTCATTTCATAAATTTGGGGTATGCTCCTCTCTCAGTGAAAATACTAATCTTTCTCTGTATGTGCTTAATAATTTTAGGATGACAGCTGAAAGGCACAACTTCCTGACTGGACTGCTACCTAAGTTTACTACAGCTACAGTCAACAGTGACATGGGAGTAGGCATCACATTGGCTAAGGCCTAGGACAAGGAAGCAGATGTGATGTGATGTATCAAAGTGTTTCAAATTTATTTGTTTTCAATGGGTGTTAAATTATTGCAATGTAATTTTTCTGGATGACTTTAATAAACAACTCTTTGCACCAAATCTGGGAGCGAAGTTGGCCCTAAAGACTTAGCAGAGTTGTTATAATCCATTCCCTGTTAGAAAGAAACAAGACTCACATAGCTATCTTTGTAATTTGGATAATTACAAAGAAACACTTTGCAAAATTTTGTGAAAGAAAATGATTCAATCATCAAAATCATTCAATAATCAAAATTCAGCTTCAGCTGATTTTACTTTCAAGGAGACATTTATAAGTGTGTGTTGCCCCTTCCATTTCAATAAGTGGCCAACCTTATTTGATCTTTGAGGTTCAGTCATAATTGGGAACTATCTGGAAATACTCGGCTGTTGAATAAGCAGGGAAATAATAATAATAACAACAACAACCTTAACAGCTCTTAGGTCCTTGGTTAGGACTTGAACTGTTAAGTTTGTACAAGTCCCAGACTGTGAATCAAATTGAAGATTAACAATCATCATCATCATCATCATCATCAAAGTGGAGGAAATATTATAAAGGCAATTAACACCTGGACCATGCCAGTAATACGATAGCTAGAATAATTGATTGGACTCAGATAGAACTTGATAACTTGAATCAAAAGACAAGAAAACTAATGACAATGCATCATGCCATGCACCCGAAAAGTGATGTCAACGATTGTATTTGCCTAGATCTCAGGGTGGCAGAGGAGTATTACAGGTGAAACAAACTACAGAAAAGGAAAAACATGGCTTATTGACTACATAAATAAAAAGCAAAAGAGCCTCGGCGGAAGGAGGTGAAAAAGGAAAACCTCTTGAAAACAACAAGACTGAAAGTAGAATATTGAAAGGAAACAACTGAACATTGTGTTTCTAACTGGAAAAAGAATTGTATGCACAGTCAATGCCTGAAGGACAGGTAGATACAAAGCTAACATGGAACTGGTTGATCTCAGAGGTGCTGAAGAAAGAAACTGAAGGCTTCATTTTGGCTGCCCTAGAATAAGCCTTGCAGACCAATTCCATGAAAGCAAAAATTCAACATGTCAGTAACAACAGCAAATGTCACTTATGCAATGAAAAAAATGAAAGAGTGGATCACCTTATCAGTTGCTGCAGCAAAATCTCACAGACTGATTATCTACAATGTCATAATCGAGTTGCCAAAATCATACATTGGAAGCTTTGCCAGAGATTTGGGTTCAAATGCGGCAAAAATTACTGGGAACACCAAATTGACACAGTTCTTGAAAATGAGCAAGTTAAGATCCTGTGGGACTTTTGGATCCAAGCACAGAGACCTCTGGCCCACAACACGCCTGACATCACTATTGTGGAAAAGATAAAAGTCTGTTTCATTGATATTGCAATACCAGGGGATGTGCAAATTGAAGAAAAACATATAGAAAAAATAACAAAATATCATGATTTGCAAATTGAAGTTGAGCAACTATGGAGAAGAAATCAATAGCTGTACCAATAGTAATAGGAGCCCTTGGAGCAATACCCAAAGAGCTGCCTAGATATATGGAAATTTTGAATTTATTAGACCTGAATATCGTGACCTTGCAAATAAACCACCCTACTCGGAACTGCCTAAATACTCAGACATTACCTTAACAGCATCTTGGTTAGGTTCTTGGTTAGGACTTGAACTGTTAAGTTTTTATCAGTCCTAGTCTGTGAATTGAATTGAAAATTAACCATAATAATAATAATCATAATCATACCATTCTAGAAGAGGGCAGTATTTTAGTGAACCATTTCCCTAGCACAAAATTCTATGGTTGTTTCCCTTATGTTAGCTTAATTGGGGAACATATTTATCTTTCCTTTAGCATGCTTCTTGGTGACAATCTTAAACTTTTTTTTATTTTATAACAGAATTCTTATGCTAGGGTTGTCAGATCTGGGCTGCAAACATGGAGGCCAGCAGGGACAACTCTCTCACCTTAAAAATGGGAACTAAAATGGAGATCCAATCCTCAACCATGCCTTTAATTCTTTCTCTATACCACATTTTTTCAACTTCAGCAATTTTAGGATGGACTTCTATTTCCAGAATTCCCCAGCCAGCTTTCTATGAGTAGAAGTCAACACACCTTAAAACTGGATAAGCACCGATTTATACAAATTCATTCAATTTATATGCCACCCATCGTTCCTGACTACAATATTAAGCCAAATGCTATAGGAACCATAAACTATTGGGCTAATAGATGTGGGCTGCAAAAAATTCAGACCACGTGACACAACAAATATATTGAGAAAACTCTACTCTTTGCTGTCATTTGGTAGTTGTTCTGATTCCTCCAATCCCAGCCCTACACATTATATTACCCTGCTATATAAATGTAGTCAATTGTGATTTGTTCTGTTTGCAATCATTACCCAAACCTCTCTTTAAATGATATACAAAATCAGGCTCTGATAACATCCTCAGCAAGGAGCTTTCCCAATCTTAAAAATACTGGAAGCTTGTAAAGCGAGATCTCTGTTTTCACAAGAACAAAATTGCAAACAATGAATCGTGGATTGTTACTGTTGTTTTTGCCTAGGTTGCTTTACATTAATGATTTTAAATTATATATATTTGATGTTGTAAGCCGCACAGAGTTTTTTGAGTGGGTGACTATAATAAAACTAAACAACAACAATAATGGATGTGAGGAGAAATCGATATAGGAAGTAATAAGGCAAAGTAGACCACAACCTACTTCTTGGTAAGCTAGAAAAATGTGGAATAGATAGCATCACCCCTGGATGGATTCGTAACTGGCTGACAAACCACACTCAATGTGTAGCCCTTAACGGAACTACATCCATATGGAGGGAAATAAGCAGTGGGGTACCTCAAAGTTCTGTTTTAGGCCCAATACTCTTCAATATCTTCATAAAAGATTAAGATGACAGAATAAAAAGGGAACTCATCAAATTTGCAGACAACACCAAGCTGGCAGGAATAGCCAAAATCCCAGACAATAGACTCAAGATCCAAAAGGATTTTGACAGAGTTGTACACTGGGTCCTATTTAACAAAATAAAATTCAGTGGTGAGAAAAGTAAGGTTTTACACTTAGGCAAGAAAAAACAAAGGTAGAATAGGTGGAAACTGGCTCAATAGCAATAACTGCAAAAGGGATCTTGGATTCCTAGTGGATGATAATTTAAATATGAGCCAGTAGTGTGCTGAAGCCACCAAAAACTAATGCAGTCTTAGGCTGCTTTAACAGAGGAATAGAATCAAGATTATATGAACCGTTAGTATTCCTTTATAAGGCCTTGGTAAGACCACACTTGGAATACTGCATCCAGTTTTGGTCACTCACAATATAATAAAAGATGTTCAGACTCTGAAAAGAGTGCAGAAAGAGTAACAAAGATGATTAGTGGATTGGAGTCTAAAGCATATGAAGAACTGTTGCAGGAATTGGGTATGGCTAGTCTAGTGAAAAGGAGTAAGGGTGACATAAGAGTGTTTCAGTATTTGAGGGGCTGCCACAAAGAAGGGGGTCAACCTATTTTACAGAGCACCAGAATGGTTGGAAACTAACCAGAGAGAGGAGCAACCTAGAACTAAAGAGAAATTTCTTGACAGTGAGAAGAATAAACCAATGGATCGGTTTGTCTTCAAGTGTGGGTGCTCCATCACTGGAGGCTTTTAAAAAAAGACTGTCTGAAATGGTATAGGGGGCTGGACTAGAAAACCTCCAAGGTCCCTTTAGATTCTTTTATTTTTTTAATAGCAGCAAATATATTTTATTCCGCCTTTCCCCCACGCAAGGAGAAAAAAACAGCCCCGTGAACATTCTCACTGAGCTCGACCTTCCACCCCGCGCTCGTCCTCGCTGCCCAGTCTTTAAAGTTAATTCTTAGGTCACGAAACACACAAATAGTTCATTGGCCAACGTTGGCCCCGCCCTCCCTACATAGCGAACTTGGAAAAACGTAACAATTATGTCCTTTGCTGCCTGCCTTAGGCCGCCAGTCGCGCATGTGCGTTGTCTCGGAGAGAGAAAAGGCGCCGATAGTTCGTGTCTCCTGGTTGGTCAACTTTAGGGTCTGCATGGCGTTTATGTGCCAGCGGGACAGCTGGGTTCAGCAGGTGCGGAAGGATGCGGGCGAGTGATGGCTATGAGGTCGGGGTCATTGCCGCTATTCGTGTGGGGGGGGAGGATGAATGCTTACAGTTTTATTCTGCATCCCTTTGCGCTGGAGAAGGATTCTTGGTGTAATCTTTCCAATCTCCAGAACTGGAGATAAGGAGCCTTATCCAGAATTGGAAAGACACAAATTGAAATGAATAATTGCAGAGTTCCTCTGTATTCAACAGATGCAGAATTTTAGAAATCAACAGGGCTTTTTGAGCCCAAAATAGCCCATTATTCCCGTTAAATGAAGGAACAGTTCTATATACAGCAGATGATTCTTAGGTAGGCCTGATTTCTTCCCTAAGCAATTGTTGCCATTCCATGTATTCCTTATTATAGTTTACTCTAATACAACTAATAGGACAATGGATTGTAATATAGAATATATTTAATTACTTGCACAATACAATATGCTGATGTAAAAATCAGTTGCTTATACATTGTATGTCAGTAGGAAAGGAAAGCCCAGGAAAGCAAAAGGAAAGAGTGAAGCTTAACTGCCCTTTGCCCATGAATAACTTGTCTGAGCAGAGTTATGACTCACTGTAATTAATAGGAAAGTGCCTCGAGACCACATCTATATTTTTTGGTCTCATTTTAAAATATTTCTAATCTGTGAAGCATTTAGAAGGCAACCAAAGTGAAATTGGACATCTAATAATACTAATAAAATGGATTTCTTGTGGATTCTGAAGCTGGCATACATGGTACAGAATTAAAATGCCTTACAGAAATATTAAAATGGAAGTTTGAAATAAAAGTGGATCATTTGCTGAATGTAATAATTGTTACAAAATGTATGCAGTTGTCCCCAGGAATTTACAGACAAGAAGGCTATTATTAAGAACGTAGTTTTTCTCATTGTTCATCACTCTCGGCTTGCACATGATACACCTCTTTAATCTCAATTTTCTATGGGATAGAAGCCTCTACCAAAACTAAAGATCCCTTCCTTTTTCTATTAAGCTTACTACCCAGGTGGTCTCCTGCTGCCCGGCAAAATTATCTACAGAAATTAGTGGAAAGAACATTTTGAAAGGTTTCCATGTCATCCTGGAAGACACTATTCTTTTCCCAGAGGGTGGAGGGCAGGTACTAATAATTGTTCTCAAACTATTTTAGACTTGTAAATTATTATATATTTCTTAATATGTTGCTTGATATTAAGTATAACTTTCTGTTTTTAAAACCAAAAATTTAATTGGTCAATATATGTTAGGAATACATGATTTTCTTTTTACTTTTAAACATGTTTATTTGTATTTAGATACTTAATGAGGTAATTCAAGAATAAGTTGTATTGAAAACAGTTTTAACATAAAATAGAAAGGCTTGGATTGCACTAAGGCAGTGATGGCGCCCCCACTCCACCCCCCCATCGCCCGCCCCGCCTGCCCGCAGGGCCCCTCACCACCTCCAGGGCCCGCCGCAGATTGCCCAGGCAGCCCAGCAGCGCTATGGCGGTCACGCCCTTTGCCCGCGCCCTGCAGCATCAACTGTGCACGATGGGGTGTGAGGGCAGAGTCTTGTCTATGCTGCCTGGCTGCCATGTCCTTGGCTGTGCTGCTCCATGTGGGCCACGCTCAGGGGCGACTTTCCTTCAGGGGGGCTGCTGGAGAGGAGGGGGTCACGGGGGAGGCGAGGCTGGGGCAACGGCACATGTGCCCACAGAGAGGGCTCCGAGTGCTGCCTCTGACACCCATGCCATAAGTTCGCCACTATTGCACTAAGGCAGGGGTCGACAACCTTAAACACTCAAAGAGCCACTTGGACCCGTTTCCCAGAGAAAATAAAACACTGGGAGCCGCAAAACCTGTGCGCGCACGCGCATGAGGGGGAGAAGCTTGATTTAAGAGTTTAATTAAAAAGAAATAGAGGCTGCTGTGCATGAGTTCTCTCTCTCTCTCTTTCCTTTCCCTCTCTTTCTCTTTCCTCTCTCTTTCTCTTTCCTCTCTCTCTCTTTCCTTTCTCTTTCCTCTCCCTCTCTCTCCCTCTCTTTTTCTCTCCACCCCTCTCTCTTTCTCTCCCTCTCTCTGATTGTCTGCTCACCTGGCAAGCTGGCTTCAAGCTGTTCTCCAACAAGCTGACACACATTCTTATTGGGCTGGCTCTCTCCTGCCCTTCCTGCTTCCTGCAGAGAAGCAGCCAAGGCAGGAGCCCCGCCCAATAAGCTTGTCAGCTCGTCGGAGAACAGCGTGAGGCCACTCTCAAGTGTCTCTCTCTGTCTCTGTCTCTCTCTCTGCAAATGGCAGAGGAGGCTGGGAGCCGCAGGAGAAGGCTGAAAGAGCCGCAGGTTGCTGACCCATGCACTAAGGTATGTTACATAGTTTGAAAATTCTGGAGTGACTATGATTCTTCCTAAAAACCTTTGGTATGAGATTCATAATAATTGAAACGTTTACTTCAAGTAATTAATAATATAAAAATGATCGAGCAATGCCTTTATTTGTGCAATCATTCATTGTTGCTCTTCCATTAATAACATTTATTTTGGGATATCTATGGAAAGGATAGCATTTATTAATTTTTTCCCAGAACCTTCCCACAAATAAAGTATTTATGAACTAAGTTTGTCTCTTTTATACATCTTGTTGAGGGTGTTTTTTCCTCCTCAGAAACTGGGATTGTAACTTTAAATTTCTTCATTCCAGCCTGATGACCAGGGATTTATTAATGATATCCCTGTTCTCAGAGTCACCCGACAAGGTCCAGATGCTTTACACTTTATCCAGACACCACTTGAGCCAGGAACTAAGGTACAACTGGTGCTGGACTGGGACCGGCGGTTTGACCATATGCAACAGCATTCAGGTGAAGAATTGATCCATGTGATGTCCATCAGTTTGGGTAATATAATACAGAATACTTAAAGAAACCCAATAGAAAGGGTTTGAATAGCTGATGAATAATTATCTGTTTCAGGACAACATCTCATCACAGCACTTGCAGATCTGATGTTTGGATACAAGACAACATCATGGTAAGCAGGATGCAATTCTTCTCTTTTTCTTCCTTGCTTGTGGATTCTAAAACTAGAGCAGAGGTAAGTTGCAAAATCTGTAGAAATGTAACTCTTTCAGGTAATGCTGAAGACTTAAAACCCTGTAGAGTAGTTATTAACAAAAATCCTCTGTAAAAAGAACAGATAATCATATAGTTCATTAGAAAATAAAAATCCACTGTTGGCAATATTTTAATTAGGACAAATAAAAATGCATAAATGTATGTATATGCTTTTGAGTTATTGGAATTCTTATTTAGACTAGAGTCCCGAAATTAGGGAATGGAGAAAAAGTATTAAAATAAGGGTTGCAGCCATTAGGATTGCAGCTTAGAATAAACCTTAAGATGAAGATTATAGAGTTGAATATATTATTATATAATAAAGGCATTGTTTTTACCATAAGGATTCTGGGACAAAAAGCCATAGTGGGGCTCTTAGTTTAACAATATACAAAAATCACCTGCCTTTTTTACCTTTCTTTGATGAAATGCCTGACAGCATATTCTGAAGCTAAAGAATATGATGCTCTATTACCTGAAAGTAGATCTTTAAGTTTCAAGCTTTTTATTCACCCCAATTAGGTAATTTAGATTCAGCTGACTTTTCCCCCAGTATGTAATTGATGTATTCAGTCTGCCATGTCTGTCTTCAGACTGATTATAAATTGGAGATCTCTGCGCACAGTCACCCATGCTCTTGTCACCTCCCGCCTGGACTACTGCAATGCTCTCTACATGGGGCTCCCCTTGAGGAGCATTCGGAGGCTCCAGTTAGTCCAGAATGCAGCCGCGCGGGCAGTGATGGGAGTGACTTGTCGCTCCCATGTAACGCCGCTGTTGCGCGAGCTGCACTGGCTGCCGGTGGCTTTCTGGGTGCGCTTCAAGGTGTTGATTATCATCTTTAAAGCGCTCCATGGCATCGGACCTGGTTATCTCCGAGACCGCCTTCTGCCACAGATTACCTCTCATCGTCCGATACGCTCCCACAGAGAGGGTCTCCTCAGGGTGCCGTCAGCCAGACAGTGCCGGCTGGCGACCCCCAGGGGGAGGGCCTTCTCTGTCGGAGCCCCCACCCTATGGAACGAACTACCCCCAGAGATCCGGGTGATTCCGGATCTCCCCTCCTTCCGCCGCGCCCTCAAGACATGGCTATTTAAGCTAGCAGGTCTGGCCTAAGGGATATTTTAAATTTGGTTTTAAAACAATTTTAAAAAGAAAGGCCAATTAATATTTCGTTTTAATTACATTTTAAATTTAGTATTTATTGTATTTTGTATCTGTTTTTAAATGGCTGTAAGCCGCCCTGAGTCCGCTGGGAAAAGGGCGGAGTAGAAATTTGATTAAAGTTAAAGTTTTGCTCATTTTTTTAAATTTTCCAATAATATTGAATAGAATAGAATAGAATAGAGTGGAAGGGACCTTGGAGGCCTTCTAGTCCAGCCCCCTGCTCATTCAGGAGAACCTATATCCATGGTGTCGAACTTATGGCACGCGTACCACAGGTGGCCCGCAGAACCCTCTCTGTAGGCACATGCGCCGTTGCCCCAGTCCTGTCCATGAGCAACCTGCATCAATACCCGCGCAGGGTAAGGTTGCCGCGCCCACGCCTGCCTCCCCAAGTGTTTTTTTACTAACCTGCCTTTCAGCTGCATTCTGTTTCCCCGTTCGCTTCTCAGCCTTCGCCACGTGTTTGTGGGACTATCGGTAAAAAAAAAAAAAAGTTCCATCAGACTTTCTAACTTCTTGTGAGATCTCAAGAAGTTAGAAAGTCTGATGGAACTTTTTTTTTAACCGATAGTCCCACAAACACTCGACGAAGGCTGAGAAGCGAACGGAGAAATGGAATGCAGCTGAAAGGCAGGTTAGTAAAAAAAACATTTGGGGGAGGCGAGGGCATCTGGGCGGGGGCGGCCATGGCAACTTTAACCTGCATGTTGGCGGGAGGATGGGTTGTGTGCCCTTCCCATGCCAGGCCAGCCCCTGCAGCCGCGGGACGGCCGTCTTGGGCGGCGGTGGGCAGAGTGTTGAAGTGGGGGTCGGCATGCCGGCTAAAGCAGCAGGTGGAGCACCGGAGGCTCGGGGAGGGAGGGCGCTGAAGTGGGCAGTCAGACCATTAGAAAGAGCAACATGTCTGAGTGGAAAGCAGCCTCAGAACAAGTGGGCACATAAGGAAAGAAATCCTGGCTTCCCCCAGAAATTGCCTTTCTTTCCTTACCTGACTTCCAGCCCCGTGCCATTTCTCCTTCACAATCCGCCGCCACCGCCGTATGCAAGGTTTTTTTGGGGAAAAAAAGGTCAATCAAATCCAACTTCTCATGAAAGTTACCTCTGCCCGGCTTGTTCCATGGCCTCATAGCAGCGGCATTGGGTGTGACGCGCGAGGCGGCAAATCGCCATGGCTGGAGGCAAACAGCCATGTTGCACCGAAACCGGCTGTTTGGCGCTTCCTGCCCAATGTCGCTGCCATGAGGCGCCCCTCTGGCTCCTGGGAGTTCTGTTGGCGTCCTTCGTGCCGGGCGTCCTTTGCGGTGAGTTTCTGGAAAGATTTGCGATGGGGGTGGGGGTGACGCATGAGGTGGCAAGTGGCCGTGGCCAGAGGCAAACAGCCACAGTGCACCGAAACCAGCCGTTTGCAGCCTTCTGCCCATTGCCGCTGCCATGAGGCTACGGAACAAACCGGCCGGCGGTAAGAAACCGGTATACCTGTTCCTTACCTCCGCCTGGCTTGTTCTGCGGCCTCATGGCAGCCGCATTGGGTGCAACACGCGAGGCGACAAACAGCCACATCGCGCCGAAACCGAGGGGCCGGCAGGCTGTGGCTGCTGATGGACACAGTTGGCCCTCATGCGCTCGCTGTGTGCGGGGGCCGATGGTGTCAGGCAGTAGCCGCCTTGCCTCGCCTTGCCTCACCCCACAGGACAAGCCTTCTGCCCACCGTCCTACCCGCCAGAGACCTGGATCTCCTCCAACCCTGCCTGGCCCCCACAACATCGAAGTGGCCACTCCCACCCCGGCCACGCCCACCCAGTCTGCCGTGACCACAGCAGCCATGCCCATCCAATTGGCCACACCCACCCAATGGGCCACGCCCATCCAGCACCTGACGATACATAAGTGGGTTTTGGGTTGCAGTTTGGGCACTCGGTCTCTAAAAGGTTCGCCATCACTGACCTATACCATCTCAGACAAGTGACGGTCTAGCCTCTTTCTAAAAATCTCCAGTGATGGAGTGGCCACGGTTTCTGGGGGCAAGCTATTCCACTGGTTAATTGTCCTCACTGTTAGGAAGTTTCTCCTTAATTCCAGGTTGCTTCTCTCTTTGATCAGTTTCCAACCATTGTTTCTTGTCCTGCCCTCTGGTGCTCTGGTGAACAATGTGACCCCCTCTTCCTTGTGGGAGCCCCTCAAGTACTGGAATACTGCTATCATGTCTCCCCTATTTGTTCTTTTCTTTAGACTAGCCAAACCCAAGTCCTACAGCCATTCTTCGTATGTTTTAGTCTCCAGGCCTTTGATAATCTTAGTTGCCCTTCTCTGATTTTTTTTCAAACTCTCAACATCTTTTTTGTGATATGGTGACCAAAATTGACTGCAGTATTCTAGGTGTGGTCTAATGCCTCATGTGATCTTGATTCTATGCTTCTGTTTATACAACCCAGGATTGTATTAGCTTTTTTGGTTGCTGCTGCACACTGCTGGCTCATGGTTAAATGATTGTACTGCAAGGTCCCTCTCACAGTTACTATTTTTAAGCCAGGTCTTGCCCAATCTGTACTTGTACCTTTGATTTTTCCTCCCTAAATGTAAAACTTTGCTTTTCTCCACATTGAAACTCATTTTGTTGGATAGGGCCCATTGTTCAAGTTTGTCAAGATCTTTTTGGATCCTGAGTTTGTCTTCTGGGGTGTTGGCTACTCTTGCCAGTTTGGTGTCATCTGCAAATTTGATGAGTTCCCCTTCTATTCCCTCATCTAAGTCATTGATGAAGATATTGAAGAGTACTGGGCCTAAGATGGATACCCTTGTGATATCCCACTGCTTACTTCTCTCCATGTGGATGTAGTACCATTGAGGACTACTCATTGAGTACGGTTTGCCATCTGGTGGTGATGTTGGCTATTCCACCTTTTTCTAGCTTACCAAGGAGTAGATTGTGGTCTTCCCCTGGTTTTTGCACACGTAACCTGCTAATTTTGTAAAACTACATACTGATGTTACTTTAGCTATTCCTAGTTAATGAATTATGTTTAGAGAACTACCGTATTTTTTTTAAATTACACACAAAGCAAAAAACAAACCACCCTCTCCACCTCCCCCCCCACTACAAAAATATATTTCAATGTCTCTTGAAGCCATTGGGAAGAACAGAATATCATCATTTTCTGTCTTAAAAAAGGGCAAGTAGTTTTTAAAGAAAAGGTAGAAAATAATCCTTTTTTTTTACCTGATGTAAAAATTCATCAATAAATCTAATGGTTACTAAATATTGTGATTAATAAAGAATATTTTGCTTTCATCTTAAATCAGAATTAGTAAAAAAAAAAGAATATATAACTGCACCATAATGAAATTGAAAAGCCTGACAAGATATCAGTCTGGTGATACCCACCAATCTAGATGATATAAAAATGGGAATAGAACAATTAATAGAGGTTAGATATATCACTGCTATTAATTTTGATGACAGATTACCTTCAGGATTATAGGGGATATGATTATTGTTAAACAAAAGTAGAGCAGGGCTGTTTGTCTGTTTCCAAGACAGATACATGTCTTGTATACATATATGCATAACTGCATAACTCAGACTTGGTTGACCCAAGTGGTGGTGTGGAAAGGTTCTCCTCTCAGAGGTATACTCACTTGAGTTTGTGTTTGGTATCAGCTTCTACCCATCAGTTGGTGGGGTTTGTAAGACAATTGTTATTTGGGACATCTTGATGGCTTTCAGAGACTCTGCACTTTATGTAAACAGATGTGAAGCCTTATGATTGATATTGGATTGTAAGGAGCAAATTGAGTTTGCTACTACTCTAACCTTTTTGTTATGCTGCCTGAGCTGCTTGAGTCTGTTGCCAGATTTGCAATAAAATCACTAAAACTGATGGTTCTAGGAGATTTCCGCCTGCCCCAGATGGTATTCAGTCAGGGGCAGCTCATGAATTCAAGGCAACCATGGACTTGACCAAATAATCAAGGGTCTATCTGGTTTTTGTCTTGGCCAATTATGATATCATCTGAGGATTGAGGACGTTACCATCAGTCCTTTGCTGTTTTTCAGCTTGCTGTTCTCCCTTTCCCTGTAGGAAAGTAAGACTATCTGCCTCAGGAACCTAATGGACCCAAATAGGTCTCCCAGAGGGATTGGTATTTTACCAAGGATATGTTGAACTGTTTGAGGCCCTTAGTCTCTGCTTGAAGTGGCAAGTGACAAGGGGTTAGATTGGATTGTCTTTATGAGGTCTGTTTCTGTACCTTGTCCCTAGGGCAGGGCTTTTCAACCAGTGGTATGGGTACCACCTGTGGTACATTGGCACCTGGCAGGTGGTATGCGACCTAGAAAAGTGGTAGTGGGGGAGGGGAATGAGCTGAACCGGTGGCAGCACCGCATAAGACTGAACGAGAGATGGCTGGAGCTGCAGGGCTGTCAGGGCTCAGTGGAAGCGCCAGGATCAGCGCCAGGCTCCAGCTGGAGCTCGGCGCTGATCCTGGCGCTTCTGAGCCCAGAAGAAGCGCCGATCAGCTGGAATGTTGCAGCATCTCCAGGGTCTTGTGATTTACATTCAGATGCTTGGCAACTGATTCATATTTATGACGGTCACAGTGTCCCAGGGTCATGTGAAGTGACCAAAACCTGCTGCAACCACCCAGCAGATGGGGGGAATAAAAACCAAACACCCCCCCACCCCACCCCCGCTGCCAATCCTCCACAGAAATGCTCACAACAATGAAAACCTCGGAAAGGAAGAAGAGCGCTACCGGGCAGGCAGACGTCTTGCTCAGCTGTGGCTTGGGGGGCACTTTTTTCAGTGCCATTGTAACTTCAAACAGTCACTAAGCGAACTGTTGTAAGTCGAGGACTCCCTATACTTCATCACTTTTTTTCCTTTTTTGGGGGGGGGGTCATCAAGTTTTTGACACCTTGCTAGGCGACTGGTGGTACAATGGGTGAAAAGGTTGAAAAGCCCTGCCCTAGAGGTTGCTTGCTTTTTGCCAGGAACTGAATCATCAGCATAGATGCCTAGAGTGCCTTTAGTGGAAGATGAAGAGTGACCCAACCAAACGTATGTAAGACCTCATATTAGGGATTATATTTTAGTAATATTGGCAAAATATAATTTTCTCTATTCTTATTGTGGATAAGGATAAAGATCCAGGGGTCCTTTTTTGCATGACCTGTTCTTTGCTGGGAAAAGATAAGCCCCAAGATCTTTCGTTTGACTACTGGGAAGAATATGCTCTTTGCAGATAAAGTTGCATAGATTTGGGCTCTAACTTGCAGTAACAGGCGTGATTTTGCTCTGTTAGTTGAGAAGAGTTTGATGTAGTTACTGAAAAGGAAGTGGACACAATCTTCAGAACTATTAATCTGCTTACTTGTTTATTAAATCCTGGTTCCCTTAGATGATGATATATGGTTTAAATGATGTATTTGTGTTTGCCTTCTTGAAGGGGTAATTCTGCTGGCCTTAAAGAAGATAGTGATGTGTCCTCTTGTTAAGAGATCATTGCTAGACCCAATAATCCCAGACATTTTTATGTCTGGTTTCCAACTTCCCTTTTTTTGGAAAAGATTGTTGAGAAACTAGTTGGACTGCAACTACTGTGGCGTTTTCAGCCTTGCCACATTAGGGTGGGCCACTCATGAATCTTGGCTAGCAAGTAAGGACAACACACAGGTTATTCCTCGAGGTGAGTGGACCCAGGGCGTGTTCTGAGTCACCCTTTTATTTGGCAACATATATGAGGAAGTGAGCAGGTGTCAATACATAATTGGTTACATTTTGTTGCAGGGTAGAATAAGTCCTATATAACGTCCTAACATATGATTGGTTAGGGCTTTCTATAGGATGTGGTTTGTGCAAAGCAAGTGCAAGCTTATTGTGGTTCTTTGGCTCATCTACTTGCCCCGTTGCTATGGCCGTTGCTAGCTAGCTTAACCGTTGTTTCTGTCAGAGGATGTGGTTTGCCCTACTTACTGCAGATGGCTGCTTTCTTTTGTCCTGGGCTTCTAGTACACAAGCTGGCCATTGGCCTAGTCTTACTACAGAAGCCTGAACCATAAATTCCCAACAAACTACATGGGGCCCTGGAATAAAAAGATAATCTGGACCTTTTCAGTTGGCATTGTATTGAGAAATCACTTATTATGCTTGTTGACAATTATGGTGCAGCCTAGATAGGAATAGTTCAACCATCCTGGCCCTTTATGATTTCTCAGTGGCTTTTGATACTGTTGATTGTGTATTTTTCTAGACTGTCCAGGTCCACTCAATATTGATCGGAGTTGAGAGGTCAAGTCTGAAGCTCCTGATGTGCGAGATGCCATAGAGTTTGACACTGTCATCCTTTTTGTTTAATATTTATATGAGGCCATTGAGAGAGGTTAATTGTGGTTTTGTACATCTTGACTCTGGCCATCCAAGCAATGCTGTCAAAGTCTTGTTCTAATGCCTGGAGGCTATAGGAATTTGGATGGATTTAACCCTAGCAAGATCAAGCGACTGTAGGTTCTTGGACTACCCAGTTCAGGAGATCTCTTATCTCTGGTTCTGAATGAGATTGCAGTGCCCCATTCAGACTGGAGCATAATCTGGGAGTTTTCTTGGAACCTCTGGTCCTCCTCGAAGAACAAATGGCACCTATGGTCAGGAAGGGCTTTATGCAGATTTGACTTGTGCAGTTGCACTTGTTCCAGGATTAGGAGGCTCTCCCTATAATCATGCATGCTTTGATCATCTTGCAAGTGAATTTTGCAATGTGCTACTTGGGACTGCCTTTGAAGTCTATGCAGAAATGGCAGCTATTCCAGTGCTAGGCAGATCTTGCTATGCCCTTGTAACAATTGTATCCCTCAAGCTGCACGGATTATCAGTAAGGTTCCATAGTCAATTCAAGGTATTGTTTTCACATTTAAAGACTTAGATGGTGTAGAACCTAGTTATCTGAGGGACTATCAGCTATAGTGTCTGCCTGTCTCTTACGAGCCAACAGAGTTGGCTTGTTTTGGGTCATGTCAATCAAGCAGTGTCATCAAGGATATTCAAGAAATCAGCCTTCTCTATTGTTCCCCCTACTTCTAGAAGAGCATCCTGTAGCCCACAGATATTTGTACAATCCCCTCTGCCCATGTCCTTAAATTACCCTTAAAAACTAGCTGTTTTCCTGGGCCTTGGGTCAATGTATCTTTGGACCTTTTTAAATTATTCATGAATGTTTTTGCTTTTGTTCTCTTCAGGCTACTGTTCATTTAATTTGATATTATTTTTATCTTTTTTTTATTGGGAAGCTTCAGAGAATTTTTCTGGAATTGGCAAGCCTAGAAATTCCATGAATGAATGAATGAATGATTAAACGAATGAACAAATGAAGGTTGATATAGAATGTTAAACTAGTGAATGAAATTAAAGTCTGATTTCACCACAATTCATATTTGCACAAGGGTTAATAAGCTATGTAATTTCCAGATAAACATGCATAATATTGCTGTACCCATTTCATTCCACTCTAATTCTTAATCAAAAGAAGATCATGGAACGGCCAAAAAGCCTCTTTGTGGATCTACATTTTCTCCATAACAAGTGAGGGGAATATTGCCTTTCTTTAACCATTGTAGGGAGCTGGGCCGTCAGCGAAGCACTATTGAGCTAGACACCTCATCAATGACAGTAGATCAGGTGACAGTCCTTGAGCAGAGTGTGAATGAAAAAATTCGAGTTCGGGTCCCTGTGATGGTACGAGAGTTTGCTGTGGGTGATCCTGAAGTTGAGAGGGTAAGTTTGGGCTGCAGTAGTGGAAAAAGAAACTACTTTGTATTCTTCTTTAACCAGATACTGTATTATAGGTAAGAAGCCGTGGCTTGCCAGATGATCATACTGGGCCAGTTCGGATAATAAGCATTGAAGGTATTGATGCCAATATGTGTTGTGGCACACATGTCTCCAATCTCAGTGACCTGCAGGTGAGGCCCCACATTCAAGAGTTTTATAAATTGAATTTCTTCAGATGTGCATGTCAGACTGCCCTACAGAACAAAAATAGCCTCTTTGTACTTGTAAAATCTTTTAATCTGAGTCAGTATGTGTTTGTTCAAAAGGTCATTAAACTCTTGGGTACGGAAAAGGGGAAAAAGAACAAAATCAACTTAATTTTTCTTGCTGGCAATCGGGTGCTGAAAAGTCTGGATCGAAGCCATGCCACTGAAAAGGCCCTGACATCACTGCTTAAGCAAGTATTCTATTTTCTGTATATCACTAATGGGCACCTCTACACACAATCACAGAGAAACTATTTCAGACTTATTGGCCTGGGAATTCCACTTAAGCAGTAGAAAGAAAAGCAGCTGAACTTTGAGATTTTTCTTAAATCCAGAATTAATGGCACACAGGTTAATTATTTACTTAAGAGGAACAGATAATTTATTTAAGTATATTTAAAGTTCATGATAAGTAATGTAAGCCTTGGAAAAATTGTTCCTAACCTGAAAAAAAATTGTTCTGAAATCATACAGCAATTCCTATTACAATTCAGTTCTACATCCCCTATTAACACAAGTTGTTCCTCTCACAAATTTCTCCTCAAAGCTTACGCTCAATAAGATACTATACAGTCTTTCCTGAGTCCTGTGGTTGCCTTTGTATTTTAGGAATGGTCCCGAAGAACATGTAGAAGCTGTGAAAAGGCTGCAGAGATCTGTGAAACTACTTCAGAAGGTACGTTTATGTCACTTCATTTTCTGCCATGGAAAGTTTCAGGCCTCACTTTACAGTAGCCACAGCAAGATACACTGACAACTTTATGTTAGAATAAAACATTGGTAAGCAGTTTACAGAAAAGCATGTTTAGTAACGGAATATGGAAATCAGGTTTGAGGAAGTTGGGTTAGTCAGGAATGATAGTGACTATGCAATTTTCAGAATGGTTCTGGTTCATCTGGAAAGATGTCATCCAGTCTCTAGAAGGACATGATTGAGAACCAGTTGCAGGCAGATTGTGCCTATTTTTAGGACCATTCAAGGTCTGTTCTCCCAGCACAAAATTACATGTGATTTAGAATCCAGATGGGTACACTATAGCTTGATCATGGAGAAGCTCAGTAACATTTATTGCATCCTTGCCCTTCTTTACCTTGCTAGGAATTTCTCTGCTCAGTCATTTCCTCAGTCGGTTAATCTTTACTGAATGGAATTGATTGAGTGTAACATATCCATGATGTACTTCTTTTTTCAGAATAATGTGAATTTGCTAAGAGATTTAGCTGTTCTTACAGCGCAGAACTTCAGAAACACCTCAGCTCAACAGCCAGTATTTGTCTTACACAGGTGAGGCAAAAGATTCCTCATGTTTAAGCTTGGCTAGTTTGGCAGATCACCATGAGAAAATCTATGTTTGCTAAGAGTCAACACCAGTCTGACAATGTCAGTATGGTAGAACCAATGAATGTCTTAGATAATTAGAAATTAGAAATTCAAGAAAATGGAAGTCACCTTCATCTCCCATATATCCCACAAACATGAAATGATATTTAATGTTATCAACAAGAATATTTTAGTGTCTTGAGAACTCTATTTTTACTTTAATAATAAATTCTTTGAAGCTCCATCAAGCATTGTTATATTTTAAATCTCCAAAAAGCTGAAGTTAATACTAATTAAATTATCAAACCAATCTAGGCATTGATGGTTTCCTTTTTGTGTAGCTGACAGATCTGTTACAGACAGTGGTATGAGAGTGCAAGTTTGGAATTATTTCTTATAAAAATTTAAAAATAGGAAAGAATTTTTCTATTGTTCTTAGGGAATCATGGAATATCTTTCTCCTTTCTACAGGAAAGATGGTGACTCTGAGTTTATGAATATAATTGCAAATGAATTTGGCTCTGCGGTGAGTCTTTTCTTGTTTCTCTGAATTTTTTTTTTAAAAAATCTTTTATTTGTTGAAGATTTCCTATTTTAAAGGAAGTTCCTACTTATGATACAGGTAGACCATGTTAACAACCATTTGTTCAATGAAATATAACAGCACTGAACATTCGTAATATAATAGCATTGAACAAAGAGATTTATGACTGTTCCTTATGTATGGCTGTTGTGATGTTCCCATTGTCAGATAATCGCAATTCGGGCATTTCTTCAGCAAAATCCTGATTTAAATATTCCTATACAGTGGTACCGTTGAGCAGTGATTTAATTGTATTTGTAAAGAATTTGTTTAGCAGCATTAGATCTGAAACACTATCCTTTCAACAGGAAACCCTCCTTTTCTTATCTGTGGGAGATGAAAAAGCAGCTGGGCTTTTTCTGTTGGCAGGGCCTTCAGAAGCAGTGGAGAAACTGGGTCCCAGGTGAGTTATTCACACCAGTTGAAGAAGTACAATCAAGCTATTAATTTGGCGACCATTGAGAATGTAGCTCTGGTCTGTTGTTTTATTAATTGCCCAACTGATGAGTAAGGAACATATTGATTCACCTCTTGTTCTTCCCACAAGAGTTGCTGAACTACTGGAAGGAAAAGGAGCAGAGAAACATGGGCGCTATCAGGGCAAAGCTACAAGGATGAGCCAACGATCGGAAGTGGAGGCCCTTCTTCAGGCATTCGCCAGCAAATAAAACTCGGAACAATGACTGGGCATCTGGACAATAATGCAGTTAGGGAAGAAGCAAATGATTCTGCCATAATTGTTCCTTAAGGACTATTTAATAATACAATAATCTATTTTTGTTTTTTGAGCATGCCAGTATCAGCAGAAAAGAATGATCACTGGTCTAATATTGCAAAGAGGGATATTACTAGATATGAAAGAGATAAAATATGTAAGAGAGGTGTGATATGTAAAACAAGCATGTCTGGAAACTATCTTATATCTGTAGGAAGAAGCTTTACCATAAACCAAGCAGGGTTTTTTTGGTATTGAGAAGAATTGCATTTTTCAGAAATGTGCTATGATGCACGTTCCATACAATTTGTGATGTTTCAGTATCACAAATTAAACACTGCAGATGTTTGCTGATGTATTTGTTTCTAATAGTGTATGTTGTTTTCTGCTGAACCATTTGGAAAGGAGTTTAACAGACATAATTCTTTGCTCAGTCTTGCCTAATTTGGCCTCCTCTGAATATATGTGGACTGGTATGCTTAGAATTCTCAGAATTCTTGGTTGGACATTTTGGAATTTGTATTCCTAATACACCTGGAAAGTACTAAATTGGGAAGGTTTTTTAAAAAAGTCCTGTTATATCTTAGGATCAACGGTTTACAATGTCATCATCTTGCCCCCAACAATCTGGGTCCTTATTTTATCGACCTCGGAAGGATGGAAGGCTGAATCAGTCTTAAGCCTATCGGGATTGAACTACTGACCGTAAGCAGCATTAGCCTGCAATATTGCATTCTAAACATTGCACCACTAGGCAGCATAATAATAATGAGAGGAAGGTTCATAAGTTTTCTTCTTATGTAATAGCCTGTTACTGGATAGTTCACCTGCTTATATGTTCAAGCTGTTGAGTACATAACTTTGTGCAAAAAGTACTGTGATAGGATTCTGAATCATGTTTTGAAAAGCAGGCATAGAAATGTGAGTCTAAGAAAGTGCATAAATCCTTTTGGTGTTAAAAATGGTATACAAATTTAACCCTGCATCAATCTGATGATTTATGGTTCTGCTTATTCTGTACCAAACATCTGATTACACGTGAAAGAAAAAGCCTCCATCACAACATCAGAATGGCAGTAAATTGATTAGAACATAGAGTAATAGAGTTGGAAGAAACCTTGGAGGTCTTTTAATCCAACCCCCTGCTCAAGCTGGAGACTCTATACTATTTCTGACAAATGGCTGTCCAGTCTCTTTAAACACCTCCAGTAATGGAGCACCTACAACTTCTGGAGGAAAGCTTTTCCATTGATTTATTGTTTCACCATTAGGAAATTTCTGTTTAGTTCTAGGTTGCTTCTCTCTTGATTAGTTTCCACCCATTGTTTCTTGTCTATAAGATAACTTGGTCCAAAGTGATAAGAAAATGGTGAAAAGCAAGATTTGTGCCTAACATTGTTTGGAGATAAATGCACAAACATTCACATGAAAAAAGAGAAAAGAATGTATGATGAACATGGAAAAGGAACCAGAATGCGGGTGTGTGTGTGTGGGGGGGGGGGAGAGCAGACAATGCAAATACAGCAAATAGTTCTTCCAGGCTACTATTAAAACTCTGATTGTAACTGTTTCTGGCTTGTTTGCAAACTAGCAGGTAACTTAGTCTTCTGTTCTGGTTGGAATCCCTCAGAAGCTTTTCTAAGAGACATCCCAGATGCCACTCAGCTTTATTTTCTGGTTAAACTATCTGCTTTTCCTCCCTGTCCAACCAGGATATCAAATTATTTCTGTCTGAAGACAGCTATATTCATCAGTATATGGAAGGGATTAAGACACTGTTTAATCATCCACAAAAGAGACAACAACATATCTTAGTTTATAAACCTTTAGTCTTCAGAGTTGAAGATACATGTCCAAAGTTGCTCTCTATTGCAGAACATTTGTTCCTTATAAATCTTTCTTGTCCAATGGCCGAAGGAGGCAGAAAATGCTATAGGGGATCAGGGCCACTGCACAGATGTGGGCGCAAGTGCACTTACAGAATGAGAGAATGTAGAAAAGGATCTCCTGATCAGTGGGTAGTTCAAAGGAATCAAACAGGTGCAGGACCAGCAATGAAAAAATGATGCAACTGAAATGGAAGATCAGCCCTTGGCTTTGCTTCCCTTTGCACATTTCTGTATACATTGGGGAGTTGAGTCCAAATCCCAGCCCAAACAAAATGCCCAGATTGCGTAACAGACTGGCAAAAGGGGTTGTGTCAATATGGACCCATTCAGGCCGTTCACACCATTTGTGGGCCTTCTCAAGTGTCCATAAGAGATCTACACCCAGCATCTTGAGCAGCAGATAGAAGCCTAAGGCAAAACCAAAGAGGAAGCCAATAGTTCCAACATATCGCATGAAGCTGGCAGTGTAGATGGAATGGACTTGTTCAAAAACCACAGCCACCAGTATGCCTGTAGAATAAGTCAATCATTCATTGAGTTGGCATTCTCTTGATATTTACAGGGTTTTATTCTTTTATTTATTCAAGACTAGGAATAGCTTACCTGAAATAACACCTGCAATCACTTGATGTGGGAAGTGTGCAGCAATGAACACTCTGGACAAGCAGACACAGACTTGTATAGCCCAGAATCCTACCCAAAGAAGACCATGCAGACACCTATAATGGGGAGGATGGAAAGTTTCAGGGCAAAAGCAGTTCTTAATTGCACTCAAGGGACATCTTAGACTAAAGGCCAATTTGTCCTTTGAATGTTGTGCCAGAACAGGAAATAACAAGATTTTGTTTAGCTAATTCTACAGTAAATTAATTAAATGCAGATAGTTCTCACTAACTGCTTTGTTTTGTGACTGTTTAATATAACAGTACTGGAAAAAATAACTACAACCAATGTCTGTCTATGACCTTCACAGTGTCCCTCAGTCACACGATTGCCATTAGAGTTGTCCTATGCTGATTTGCTGGGGGGAGGGTTCCTTCACTTTCAGCACTGAGAGTTTGGGCAGGGAGAGATTACAAGAGAATAAGCAGGCACATACTGCTTACTCTTTTGTAATCCCTTCTCTAATCTATGCTCTGCAAGAGAGGGAACAAGTAATATCTAGGCAATTTCTGCTGTCCTGTTTTCTCCTCCCCTCACAGAATAAATGCCTGCTTATTCTCTTGTAATCTCTCTGCCAATGAATGTAAATATAAACATCAATTCTCTTTTTGCTAATTATCTCAGCAGAGGGGTGAGCTTTTGAAATGGCAGTGGAGTAGGGAAGGGGCTATAAGATTTGCCCCTTCATTGTGAATCATATTGTGATAGCCTTCCCTTCCTTTGTGCTCACCTGGCTTTTTGAGCTTTGACCGCCTGGTGTTTAGAATACACAAAGGCACTGCATATTTATGTTGGAAGTATTAATGAGAAAGGATATTTTATAATGTTTGGTGGATGTATAAAAAAACCTAGAAAATTCTTGATTCATATATGTATGTATGTATGTATGTATGTATGTATGTATGTATGTATGTATATGTAGAAATAACACTAAAAATTCGACTCTTGGGAAAAATCATAATAGCCAAATAAATACAGACCACCAAGAGAGCATCTATAAAATATAGAATTTAATCTACCTAGCTTTCGTCAACAAAACGTTTGACATCGTCAGGGTTAAAAGGCAAGTACCGATTGAAGTCTTATATACCGTTGCCGAGTGTCTGTTTCCGGCTCCTGGAGCGCGTAACTGGCCCCAGCTGATCCTGCCGTACTTCGAGCCTATTGCTCACATCATCGTTCACCCCTCTCATTCTCCGAGCTTGTGTTTCTTCCCCTACCGTCCCATTCGCTACTGTAATGCTATGTGTATCTAGGGGCCAGCTGTTACAGCCCTTCCTTCGTGCAGCCCCTCCAGTATTCCGTATGTGATTGTATCCCAGGTCCGAGGGGGGGAGAGGGGGATCATCCCCTATGCTCCTACAAATCCCGTCCCCACTCCGTTCCTGCCTGCTGTTATCCTCGTGCCATAGCGGAGGTTCTCTCCTTTTTCTCCTACCGACCTCGGTTCTGCGCGGCATACGCCCCGTTCCCATTTCTTCGTCCTCACGTGTCTCCCGAGCGCCCTCCGTAACTATCCCATTAATAGCGCTCTCTCGTTCAGTCTGCTGCCGGAGAGTTGCTAACTGCGCTGGAGGGGGGTGTTGTCCTTCCTTCTGCCTTGATCGAGTTATCATCATATGTCTGCTGGTGCCATTAGAAAGTAGTCCCTCTTTATTATGGTCTTCCGACCTTCTGCCCTCCTGTCCCTCAGACTCCGTTCCACAGCCGGGTATGTTATTTCTCCATTCCAGGGCAGAGTCACTTCTCAGGTGCCTTGACGGTTCCTGCGGGGGATGTTTATTGGGGACCATCCGCTGGCAACTCGGTGGGAGTTGTCCATCCGATGGTGGGTGAGTGGGTGATGGAGGGTACAGGTACCAAGGGGTCTTCTTCCGATCATGCAGTCCATAGTTGAATCTTCCATGGTCGTCCGTGCGGCGGCTGGTATTCCACACTCTTAGGGCTTGGTGTGCAGAGCACAAATCAACGTGGCGATTGATGGAATCAGTTCCTGAGAACCATGCCTCTTTTAGCAAGCGACCTCCCTTCGTGGTGTCATTGGCCAGGGTTTGAGTGTTCTCAAAATCAAAATTATGTCCCTGTTCGGACATATGGGCCCAGATCTGGGAGTATGGCTCTGCTCGCTTAAGTGGCTCAGCACCCGTATTGCGTATTTGGTTGATGGCAGCCACAAGGTGGTTAAATCGGCAGGGGAGTTCCTGGAGAAGATTAGAACCCTTAGAGTGGAGGAGGATGAGGTGATGGTCTCTTTTGATGTCACCTCACTCTTTACCTCCATCCCCCAGGACCTAGCGATTAGGGTCCTGAGGGACCAGCTAGAAGAACAAGGGGGGGCTGGCCACCAGGACTCCCTACGTACCGAAGATTTAGTGCAGCTGCTACAACTATGTCTAACAACCTACTTCATCTTTCAGGGTGTAACGTATGAGCAGGTGAAGGGTACACCCATGGGCTCCCCAATATCCAGCGTGGTGGCAGAGGCGGTCCTCCAGCAGTTAGAATGAGAGGCTATGGCCTGCTATCAGCCCAAGTTCTGGGCCTGATACGTTGACGACACTTTTGTGGTCGTCAAACGTAGTCGACAGGATGACTTTATGGGATTGTTAAATTCAATATACTCGGACATAAAATTTACGGTAGAGGAGGAGATCCAGGGTTCGATAGCCTTCCTAGACGTGTCAATCCAACGCTTGCCGGATGGCACGCTTAACACCAAGGTCTATTGAAAACCCACGCATACAGATAGTATCCTCCACTACCATAGCAATCATCCGACTTCCCATAAGGTCAGCTGTATCAAAGC